CTGGTGGAGAAGTTAAATGTCTTATGGTCAAAATCTATCTACCCCTTATGAACCAGGTGACCTTGAGCTGTTTCCTCCTGAGTTAAATGGGGGTCATTCCAGTTCTGCATCACATGATTAATATGAGGATCAAACGAGATAGTGTGTAGCCATGACAGCACATCTTGCAAATGTTTAACTATTATTTCATATTTTCTTTACATAACTGATGACAAGTTCTAAATTTTATATTAACATTCTTCAGTTACTACTGGCATTTTTTTCCAACCAAGTTTCAAAATAAGGCACTAATCTTTGCTCAATTTAAACCCACACCATGGAAACCTCGGCTGCTTTACTTGGATTGCAGGGCTGGCAAAATTCCACTCCAGGTGGCTAAGCAATAATAAACAAGGGTTCACTGTTTCATCACATCCTCACTTGCTCTGTGAATACTTTCTCTAAATTCAGTGGCTCATTGTGGACTTTTAAAATCTGCTATACTTTCTCCCCCGGTGACAAAACTTTAAAATGTCTAAATATTAAAACAAAGAACATTTCAAAACTTAAAATGCAAAAGGCTTGAAAAATGTTATAACAAGGAGAACAAAGTGCAGTAGTAGGGTACAATACTTCAAGATATTAAGCCATGTTTCTCTAACCACTGGCCCAGCTCAGCCCACGCAAATTCTAGCACTGAAAAACAAAGCAATTTAAAGAGCTCTAAGAATTTCTCATTCTTAAACAGTACATTCTATAATAGTTCAATAACAGACATAATTCTACGTACTGTAAAAAATTTTTAAGATTAAACATATACACACAGTAGGTCATCAAATATTTCCTGAATATAAGGCATATTTACTTACAATACAATAGAACACAAATGAGCTACTGATCAGTGAACTGAACAACAGCAGCAACAACAACAAAAACTCTAGAAAATATTACAGCATTATACTGTGAAGTTCTGAAATCTTACACATCAGTTTCTGTAAAATTTAATCTCTTTTATTGAGATAATTAACAGAACATAAACTTCACCCTTTTAAAGTATACAAGTCAGTGGTTTTTAGTATATTTATAAGGCTTTACAACCATCATCATTATCTAATTCTAGAACATTTTCATCATCCCCAAAAGAAACCCCAAGCCATTAGTAGTCATTCACCATTCCGACATGCCCACAGCACCAAGCAACTTCCTATCTACTTTGTATCTCTATGTATGTGCCTATTTTGAACATTTCACATATAGGGAATCATACAATATGTGACTTTTGTGAGTTTGATTAAATCTTATCTTTCATTATCATGTGGTTTTTCTCTCATTTTTCCTAAAGTATGATCATACAACATGGTGACTATATTTAATAACAATGTATTAAATGCTTGAAAATTGCTAAGACAGCAGATTTTAGGTATTATCACCATAAATAAGTAATACAGATGTGAAGTAATGCACATGGTACTTAGTTTGATTTACCATTCCACACTGCATATATATTTCAAAGCATCATGTTGTATATCATAAACACACAATTTGTATTTCTCAACTTAAAAAATAAGTTATGAAGAAGAGGAAAAAAACACAATCAAAGCAATGCTATCTACCATCTCTGCAGGGAAATCCTTAAACAAAAAAGCATGGACTCAGCTTCCTGAGTAGCTGGAACTACAGGAGCATGTCACCATGCCCAGCTATCTCAGGGTTTTTAAAAAGCAATCCTAGCCAGGTGTGGTGGCTCACACCTGTAATACCAACACTTTGGGAGGCAGAAGCAAGAGGACTGCCTGAGTCCAGGGGTTCCAGATCAGTCTGGGCAACTTAGTGAGACCTTGTCTCTACAATAAAACAAAAAATTAGCTGAGTGTGGTGGTGTGTGCCTGCGGTTCTAGCTACTTGGAAGGATTATCTGAGCCAAGCAAGTCAAGGCTGCAGTGGCTGTGAGCATGTCACTGCACTGTAGCCTGGGTGACAGAGTTAGACGCCTGCTCAAAAAATAAATAATAATAAAATAAAATAATAAAAACAATCCTGACCAACATTGTGGCATTTTCCAAACTAACTTAAATTATTATTATAAATGTTGATTACTGTACTTTGCTATTATAAGAAGACATTAAACTATTTTTAAAAGTATATATAGGCCTGGCTCAGTGTCTCAGCCTATAATTCCAGCACTTTGGGAGGCTGAGGCGAGTGGATTGCCTGAGTCTGCGGGTTCAAGACCAGCACGGGAAACTTGGCGAGACCTCATCTTTACAATAAATCAAAAATTAGCCAGGTGTGGTAGTATGCACCTGTAGTTCCAGCTACTTGGAAGGCTGAGGTGGAAGGATCGCTGGAGCCCTGCAGGTCGATGCTGGGGTGGCCGTGAGGGTGCCACTGTACTCTAGCTTGGGCAATAGAGTGAGACTCCAACTCCGAAAAAAAAAAAGTATATATAAATAGCAATAAAAATCCAAACAAAGGGTACAGTGGCTCACACCTGAAATCCTAGCACTTTGGGAAGCTGAGGCAACAGAACTGCATGAGCCCAGGAGGTAAAGGCTGCAGTGAGCTGTGATAGTGCCAGTGCACTCCAGCCTGGGTGACAGAGTAAAACCCTGACCCAAAAAATAAAAATTTTTTTTCTAAATACAAAAATTTTTAAAAATCCAAGCAAGTCCAGACACAGGGGTACATGCTTTGGTTCTAGCTAGTCAGAAAGGCTGAGGTGGTAGGAATGTCTGAGCCCAGGCATTTGAGGCTATAATGAGCCATGACAGTGCTACACTCCATACTATGCAACAGAGCAAGACTCTGTCCCTAAAAGAAGAAAAAAAATCCAACCAAGTCACAGAAAACTTGTACAAAAATTGAGTTTTTAAAATATATTTTGTTGCTTTTTTAAAAAATATTTTAAATGTATGTATTATTTTAGAGACAGGGTTTCATTATGTTGCCCAGACTGATCTTGAACTCCTAGGTTCAAGTAATCCTCCACACCTTAGTCTCTCAAGTAAATGGGATTACAAGTATGTGCCACTGCACCTGGCTGCAAGTATTTTATTTTTAATTTTAAAGTATTATTATTGTCACATTTTGAAAGTCACTTTTTAAATAAACCAAAAAATTTTATGCTTGGTGTTATAAATAGGCAAAAGGAAGACTTCTCAAACTTTTATGTAAATGATTATCTTCATAACTAAACTAAATATACATGATATAGAAAGATGACAGTATTATACTGTTCAGTTGCAGCACTTTGTGTGTAGTATGATTCTACTTGTATAGAAACAAAACATCATGTATCGTATAGGAGTGTATGTTTGTGTGTGTGTGTGTATTTGTATATTTGTATGGTAATTTTATAAAGTTCTACAAAAATATTAAACAAACTGTTAACAGTAGTTACTCCTAGAATCAGTCTACAAAGAAGAAAAAAAATTCACTTTTTATTTCACATATTCCTGTATTAATTGCCTATGTACTGCCTTTTGTAACTTTTTAATCACCAATTTTTAAATTAGATAGATAGATAGATAGATTTTTTTTTTTTTTTTTTTGAGTTGGAGTCTCACTCCTTTGCCCATGCTGGAATGCAGTGGCACGCACGCTCACAGCCACCCCAGCGTTGACCTGCTGGGCTCCGGTGATGCTTCCACCTCAGACTTCCAAGTAGCTGGAACTACAGATGCACACTACCACACCCAGTTATTATTTTATTTTTATCGTACAGCCCAGGTCTCGTCAAGTTGCCTGGGCTGGTCTCAAACCAATGGGCTCAGACAATTCACTCGCCTCAGTCTCCCAAAGTGCTGGGATTACAGCCCGGCCAATTTTTATTATTTAAATATGGCTAGGCACAGTGACTCAAGCCTGTAATCCCAGAACTTTGGGAGGCCGAAACAAGAGGACTACCTGAGTCCAGGGGTTTGAGACCAGCCTGGGTAAGTTGGCAAGACTTCATCTCTACAATAAATCAAAAAAATTAGCTAGGCATGATAGTATGGCCTATAGCTCCAGCTACTTGGAAAGCTGAGGTGGAATGATTGCCTGAGCCCAGTAGGTCAAGGCTACAGGGGCCGTGAGTATGCCACTGCACTCCAGCCTGGGTGACAGGGTGAGACTCCAATTCAAAAAAAAATTATTTAAATATACCATCAATTTAGATTATTTTCTTCTTTTTATGCATTGAATTCAACACTCTTATTGTGTCCATTTTTAATTATGCAACCCAAGAGAAAAATGGAATATAGTAGCAAACACTAATAGGTTGTATACTATATACGGCTTCCAAAATACCTAAAAGGTTTTTACACCATCCTTACTCAGAACATCCTTACTCAGTTTGCTGTACAATTATCACCAGTTTAGTAGTCACATATTACTCCATTACACTCATGCTTTAACAACCATTGCCAGTACATGTGGAACCAGATTTTTTTTTTTTAAGTACCCTGAGGCCCGGCACGGTGGCTCATGCCTACTATAATCCCAGCACTTTGGCAGGCCGAGGTGAGAGGATTGCCCAAGCCCACAGGTTTGAGACCAGACTGGGCAACTTGGTGAGACCTCATCTCCAAAATAAATCAGAAGATTAGCCAAGTGTGGTGGCATATGCCTGTAGTTCCAGCTACTTGGAAGGCTGAGGCAGAAGGATTGCCTGAGCCCAGCAGGTTGAGGCTGCGGTAGCCGTGAGCGTGCCACTGTACTTTAGCCTGGGTGACAGAGTGAGACTCCAACTCAAAAAACAAAAGCGTCCTGGGAGGGGACAGGTACAGATGAACACAAAACACAGTTCTTAATGTCAATGAATGAACCAAGTAGGAAAAATATCAAAACAAGTTTTAGAAGTAAGTTGAGGAGAGAGAGGAATAGATGCATCATCAGTCTCTCACTATTTCTTCCTTTCTGATTTATCTCTTGATGCTTCATACTTAGTGTGAACCTTAGTGAACTCGCCAACAGGGGGCTCTGGGGCCCACCTGAAACATGTAAATCAAACAAAAGTTTAGAAAAGGTCAGAATCATACCTTTTCCAAAATGAACTTGTTTAAATATGGCATGTAGCCCTGATTGGAGACGGGTCCCTCATCATCATCCCTGAAGTGCTCTTCAAGGGCAACAGGGTCATGTGGAACCTTCAGCACTGTGCACAGGTTATGGGAAAGGACCTGTGGGGGAGAAAAAAGAGAGCACATGACAGCATGTGACAACTTCACTGTGAACACAACACAACGCTCCCTGCCCTGGGTAGAGAAAGAACATAAACTAGCAAGTACAGGGTTAGGACTGCCCAGCTGCCAGCCCTCACTAGTCACCCGTTAGTCTCACTCATTCCCTCCCAGTTTGGGTTCACTTTGAACATGACTCTATTACATTCCTATTATAAATCAGGCTCCATGCAAAACTGGTGAATATAATATCCCTATGGGCCGGGCATGGTGGCTCAAGCCTGTAATCCCAGCACTTTGGGAGGCCAAGGCAAGAGGATTGCCTGAGCTCAGTGGTTCGAAACCAGCCTGGGAAACTTGGCAAGACCTCATCTCTACAATAAATCAAAAAAATTAGCCAGGCATGGTAGCATGTGCTTGTAGTTCCAGCTACTTGGAAGGCAGAGGCAGAAGGATTACCTGAGCCCAGCAGGAGGAGGCTGCGCTGGCCATGAGCATGCCACTGCACTCCAGTCTGGGCAACAGAGTGAGCAACACACACACACACACACACACACACACACAATACTCCCATGGTCTTTTATTAATATTTATTCATTTCCTTCTATATTAGAAAGAAGGAGGGTCAGGGCAGAATAAGATAATGTGTTCAAAATTAAACTTTTCCTGTAATCCCAACATTTTGAGAGGCCAAGGCGAGTAGACTGCCAGAGCCCATGGGTTTGAGACCCACCAGGGCAACTTGGTGAGACCTTGTCTCTACAATAAATCAAAAATTAGTCGGGCGTGGTAGCACACGCCTGTAGTTCCAGCTACTTAGAAGGCTGAGGTGGAAGGATCAACAGAGCCCAGCAGGTTGAGGCTGCAGTGGCCGGAAGCGTGCACTGCACTCCAGCCTGGGTGACAGAGTGAGACTCCAACTCCAAAAAAAAACAAAAAACAAAATTAAACTTTTCTCCAAGTAGAGTAGGATCAGCCAACAAGAGATATTGAGGCAAAGTACCCAGGTTCTGGGCAGCTGTGGCCAGGAATTCTAGAAAAGAGAACTGGCCTGGGCAATTCACAAACTCTCTAGGTTTTGGTTTTCTCATTGATTCAATAGAAAGGGCCAAATTAATACACAAATATACCAAATATTAATTAGTAATCTCTAAGTGTCCATGCAACTCTAAAATTATATGACTCTAGGTTAAGTTTCAGCGTGAGTGTAAAAGAACATAAATACAAAGAGAAAGAAATCAAGTGCCCAGTTTAAAAATAGGAAAAAAAAATAACAAAAATATCTCAGGACTCACCAAAATGGTTGAAAATATTTTGTAGAAGACTTGCATTCTATACCATATACACAAATAAAGGGCTACTGGTATTGCAATAACCTAAGAGCACACTTCAACATTCAGGGTACAGTAGCTTAATTAGCAATTTAGGCTACCTCAGTACTAATCCTGCTTTACATTAAGTACAAATTTAAAAATAAAACTTAGGACTGGGCATGGTGGCTCACACCTATAATCCCAGCACTTTGGGATGCAGAGGTGAGAGGACTGCCTGAGCCCACTGGTTTGAGACCAGCTGGGCAACTTGGTGAGACCCTATCTCTACAATAAATCAAAACAATTAGCTGGGCATGGTGGTGTGTACCTATAGTTCCAGCTACTTGGAAGGCTGAGGCGGAAGGATCGGCTGAGCCCAGCAGGTCGAGCGTGTGGTAGTTGTGAGCACGGCACTGCACTCCAGCCTGCATTCCAACTCATAAATAAATAAATAAATAAAAATAAAACTTAAGTCCCTTCCATTTCATTTGTGCATTCTGAACATAGCTAAGGCTGTACTTTCTTTAAGTTAGAATCTTCCAAGTTGAATCCCAGGTTAAAATATTCTTATTTCCTAAACATTCAACTACTCAAAGAGTCACATTCATTTCTACAAACACTCTAGTTCCCTTAAGCAAGTTTCTTTTTCTGCATACATCTATTTCAGTTAGAACGTTCTAATAGATTTTAAAAATGTAATCTATTTTAAAATTTATACTTCTTTTCTAAATTTGTTTTGCTTCTCAAAGCTTCATTTATGTGGCGATCCTTTTCTACATGCTCTACTGGTTTTAAGGAAGTAAGTTAAGGAAGTAAACTCACAAATCGTTATAAACGCAGTAATGAAGACTTTTATCAGGCTCTACAAAGCAGGCTGTGTTTCTCAAGCAAACCCTGTATTTGCCAGTAAAGGACATGAAAAGAGTACGGTGGAGCTTTTATTGAAGAATTTTTCACCACAGTCAGCAAAATACTAAATAGTTTCTTTTTACCTTGTAAAAATCTTTAGAGTAATTATCTAGCCCAAAGAGAATCAATGTGAGGATCAATTTCCAGATGTAAAGTGCTTAAAAACTATAAAGTACTATGGAATACAAGTTTTGGGGGAATAAAGAGCATATTTCTCAAGTCAGGCTCAAAAGTCATCAAAATTTTAAAATCATGTGGGACTTGACCCAAGAAAAAATCCCAAACCATTGGTTAAATTATGGTACATCCATAAAATGTGAAAAACCATGAGGAAGTGCGCTATGTACTGATATGAAAAAATCTCCAAGATACATTAAGTGAACAAAACAAGCTACCTACGAGTATCATAATATGCCATCTTTTGTGTAAATGAAAAAGCAGGAAAAAAGAAATTCCGGAAGGATACTATAACTAAACTAATAACTGTGAGAAGACAAGTTTGATGCGAGACCAAGGGTAAAAAAGACTTTTCACCACACCTCCCCCTTTGTATTAAGTTTCGGAAAAACATTTACCTATTCGAAAATGTATTACGTATTCTAAGATTTAAATAGATGTATATTTTAAGTGGCCAGTCTAAAATCACATACATCAATCTATTTATCTTCAAAGTCTATCTTTTCTTCCATATTAACCTACACCTAGAATTGAGATATAAGAGGAAGACATATTCTTTTTTTGTGTATGAGTTGGAGTCTCACTCTGTCGCCCAGACTGGAGTGCAGTGGCAGTGACCAGCCACCGCAGCCTTGACCTGCTGGGCTCCGGTGACCCTTCCGCCTCAGGCTTCCGTAGCTGGAACTACAGGCGCGCGCTACCACACCCGGCTAATTTTTTTATTTATTGTAGAGATAAGATCTCCCCCCAAGTTGCCCAGGCGGGTCTCAAACCCACGGGCTCAGGCAAATCCACTCACCTCAGCCTCCCAAGGTGCGGGATCACAGGCTGAGCCACTGAGCCTGGCGAGGAAGACATATTCTACAACAATGTACTATTATTATTATTATTATTTTTTGAGTTGGAGTCTCACTGTCACCCAGACTGGAGTGCAGTGGCCGCTCCCGGCCACCGCAGCGTCGACCTGTTGGGCTCCGGCGATCCTTCCGCCTCAGCCTTCCCGGTAGCTGGAATTACAGGCATGCGCTACCACGTCCGGCTGATTTTTTGATTTATTGTAGAGATGAGGTCTCGCTGCCCAGGCGGGTCTCGAACCCGCGGACTCAGGCAATTCACTCACCTCAGCCTCCCAAAGGCGCGGGATTACAGGCTGAGCCACCGAGCCCGGCTAATGCACTATTATTAATGGATGTGTCAGAGATAAGGGCCAATGAATGAATTCAGAAAAGGAGAAATGGTGCGTGTTAAAGTGACTTCATAGAGGAAGTGAAAAGTAACCTAGGACTTAAAGGACAAATAAGGACAGCTTTAAGCATAGGAACAGAGGTAAACCAAATTTCCAAAGGGGAGGAATAACATGAGAAAAGTCACTGATTAACGTAAAGTCCTCAGGGAACAAAAAGAAAAGACCATCTCTCCCATACCCATCCTGTTCTCTGCCTTTGGGTGTCATAGATCCTCCATCTAAAGTACTAGCAGGAGCCTTGGATGTCATATAGTTGTCTTTCTCATCTTATAAATGATGAGTAGTGGCTCAAAGTGATTAAATGAGTTTTTCTTAACTAAGGTTATTGAGCAGAACTGAGACTCAGGTTCTGTAATCTCTGGTCCAACTCTCTCTAGTAATAAGGAACATTGTGTCTTCAGTTCTCTAAAGAATAGGTGCTTAGTTTGAATCAGTGATGCCACTAAAGAAGATTTGGATTTGAACTGTAGACTTCAGCCTTGGACAATTAAACTGCACACTTGTTAAATTACAGGGATGGCTGAATTCAGTGATAATTTTCTTGACCACCTTCACTTAGTTAAACAAATTATGAGGGAGGCAGCACATTATTACAGTAACAAGGAGCCAGGAGGAGCCTGAGAGCCAGTCCTGGTATTGCTATTTAGCTTGTATCCTCACTGTAAAATGGCCTCTGTATCCTTGCTGTAAAATGAGGTCTTGAACTTGTCTCTAAAACCCTTAACTGTCAATCCAAACTCATTTTATTAATCCAGCAAAAAGAACTATACAGTAATTTAGATCAGAATTTCAGTTTTGTTACAATGTTTTCATTGTTAGTAAGGTCTAGAAAAAGGGAAGTCTTCAAAAAAAAAAAAAACTGAATAAGAAATGAATGAAAAAGTGCTTCTGAAGAGGGAAAAAATTGTTCACTGTCTCTAAAACTTTTTATCAGTAATCTGCAAAGCCTCGATAGTATCTCAAGTTTTTAAAGCAAAAAATAAAACGTACAAGAAACCAAACTTGTGATGGCCAGAATATAAACTAGTAGAAAGCTACATGAGCTTATGCAGCAATTTATGCTTTTTGAGTAAGACTCACACCATCCACTAATTTTTTTTTCTACTCTTCTACTGGGAGAATAGATATTATTGCTATGTTACAGATGAAGAGGCTGAGTCAGAGATTAGGAGATGTGCCCCAAATCACAGTTTTATGTGTAGTGGAACTGGGATTAGACTCAAGCCTCTCTCTCTGGTGTACTTTACACACCATACTGCCTTCTCTCTCTTTCTGGAGGAGCAGATAGCCCTGCTTATACAAAGACGACTCTGTGGACATGCACACGTGCTTTCTAAATTGCAGCAATGGGCTGG